CGCACACGAGCGTGCGGCTGCCGGGCGGCCGGGGATGCGGGAGCGCGCGCGAGGGAGCGTAGGAGCGCGTCGGCGCGAGCGCAAAGGTGCGAGCAGGCCTGAGCGCGTGCAGGTGTGCGCGAGTGTGCCTGAGCGTGCCCAAGCGTGCGTGAGCGTGCCCAAGCAGATGTGAGCACGGGTGGACGTGCCTGCGTACGTGTGAGCGTGCCCAAGTGTGCGTGAGTGTGTCTATGCCGGCATAAGGATGCCCAAACATACGTAAGCATGTACAAGCGTGCAGAAGCACGCCCGAGTGTGCACAACTCTGTCCAAGGATGTGCAAGCATGCCCAAACGTGATGAGCGTGCACAACCATGCACAAGCACCTCCAAATGTGCATGAGTGTGCGTGAGCACGCTCAAGCACGCATGGATGTGTCCAGGGGCACACAAGCATGCGTAAGCATGTACAAGCGTGCTTGAGCATGCTGGAGTGTGCCAAAGTGTGCACGAGCATGCCTGTGCGTGTGCAAGTGTGCTTAAACACGCATAAGCATGTGTGAGTGTGCCTAAGCGTGCCTGAGTGTGTGCAAGCATGAGCACGTCCAAGCGTGCACAAGTGTGCCCAGCCATGCCCGAGTGCGTCCAAACATGCACGAGCATGCATGAATGTGCTGAAGTGCGTGTGCACGTGTGTGAGCACATCCAAGCACACGTGAGCGTGCAGAAGCTTGCCTGAGTACTCATGAGCATGTGCACGCGTGCTCAAGTGCTTGTGAGCACACCCAGGTGTGCGTGGGCATGAGAGTGCACCCATGAGCGTGTCCAAGCACAACCAAGCATGCATGAGTGTGCAAGCGCGCCTGAGCCTATATGATTGTGCGAAAGTGTGCCTGGGCACATATGAGTGTGCACAGCTGTGCTTGAGTGTGCGTGAGTGCACCAAGGAATGCACGAGTGTGTCCAACCACGCCCGAGCCTGCACACTTGTGCATGAGTGTGCGCAAGTGCACCCAAGTGATGGTGGACGCAGCTAAGGATGTGTGAGCGTTCGTAAGCACAAGTACCTGTGAGCGCGCACAAGTGCACCTGAGTGTGTGCAAGTGTGCCCAAGTGTTCCTGCGTGTATGTGAGCGCACCCAAAGAAATGCATGGATGTGTGCAAGCGCAAGTGTGCCCAGGTGTGCTGGAGTGTGCGCAAGTGTGCCAAAGCATGCCTGTATGCATGCGAGTGCACCCAAGCATACGTGCACAAGTGTGCTGGAGTGTGCGCAAGCACGCCTGCGCGTGTGTGAGTACACCCAAACGTGCATAAGTGTGTGCAAGCCTGCCAAAACGCACCAAGTGTATGTGAGTGTGCCTGAAGGAATGCATGGACGTGTGCAGGCGCAAACATGCCCAAGTGTGCCAGAGCGTGTGCAAGCATCCCAAGCGTGCCTGCACGTGTACAAGTGCACCCAGCACGCACATGCACGTGCAAGCACAAGTGTGCCTGAGTGTGCGCAAGCGTGCCTGCATGTATGCGAGTGCACCCAAGCATGCCTGGTGCGTGCAAGCACAAGCGTGCCCAAGTGTGCCGGAGCGTGCACAAGCGTTCTTGCATGTACGTGAGTGCCAGCACGAGTGTGTGCAAGCACGAGTGTGCCGGGAGGACCGTGCGAGCATGCGGCGGCACAAGCGCGCCGAGCGAGCGCACCGGTGCCAGCCTGGGTGCCCACAGGCTGCCGCTCGGGGGTGGTGGAGGTGGAGCGCAGCGTGACGGCGGTGCTGGGCCAGGACGTGGTGCTGCCGTGCCGGTACCGGGCGCAGGAGCAGGAGCAGGTGGTGCAGGTGACCTGGCTGAAGCGGGGCCCAGCCGGGCGCAGCGCCGAGGTGGCCGTGCTCAACCAGCAGCACGGGGAGCACGTGCAGGAGCCCTACGTCGGGCGGGTGCTGTGGCGGGCGGACGGGGCGCTGGAGGACGGCGCCATCATCCTGAAGAACGCCGTGCAGGGGGACGAGGGTGACTACGAGTGTCACCTCATCACCTTCCCCATGGGCAACTTCGAGGGGCGCCTCACTCTCAAGGTGCTGGGTGAGTGCCCGGGCGGTGGGCACGGGGCGGTGGGCGTAGGCTGATGGGCGGCGGGCACGGGGTGATGGGTGGTGGGTGGTGGGCGTGGGGCGAGGAGGATGGGGCAGTGGGCACGGGGCAATGGGCGTAGGGCGGTGGGGAGGGGGCAGTGGGCACGGAACGGTGGGCACAGGGCAGCAGGCAAGCGGCGGTGGGCACGGGGCGGTGGGCGATGGGCACGGGGCAAATGCGAAGGGGCATGGGAACGGGCACAGGGGAACCGGTACTGGGCACCCAGTAAGTCGCACTGGAGACACAACTGCGGCAGGCAGGTCTGGGGTCACCGGTGTGGCAGAGCGTGGCAGAGCCCGGCAGCGGGGGCGGCACCCACGGGTGCCAATGCCGGTGCGGGTCTGACGCCGGTGCCGCCCGCAGTGCCGCCGCTGCCCATCCTGAACCCGGGGCCACCGCTGGAGGAGGGGCAGGGCCGGACGCTGGCAGCCTCGTGCACGGCGGAGGGCAATCCGGTGCCCTCGGTGCGCTGGGAGACGGAGGTGCGGGGCACCAACACCACGCGCCGCTCGGTGCACACCCGCTCCGCCTCCGTCACCAGCGAATTCTTCCTGGTGCCTGGGCGCAGCATGAACGGCAAGAGCCTGACCTGCGTGGTGGCCCACCCCGGCCTGCGCCACGAGAAGAGGATCACCCACCTCCTCAGCGTTGCCTGTGCGGCACCGGGGCATGGGGGGCTCTGGGGGCACTGGGGATGTGGGGGGCATGAGGGGCACTGAGGGACGTGGAGGATATGGGGACGTGGAGGACACGGCGGGCACTGAGGACATGGGGGACATGGGGAGCATTGGGGACATAGAGAGTATGGGGGGCATTGAAGGATGTGGGGAGCGTTGGAGACGTGGGGGGCATTGAGGGACGTGCGGGGCATTGGGGAGGTGGAGGGTGTTGGGGACACGAAGGACACGGGGACTGGGGCACGTGTGGGACATAGGTGGCAGGGGGCCATGGAAGGCATTGGGGAATGTTGGCATGGAGGACTTTGGGGACGTGGAGGACGGGGCATTGGGAATGGAGGAGACACGGAGGACGCTGGGGATGTGCGGAGACGAAAGGCACAGGGGGCATGCTGGGGACATGGGGGGCGCGGCGGGACCGCAGGACATGGGGACCGTCCCTGCTCATCCCCTCACTGTCCCCTTGTCCCCAGACCTGTCGGACGCCTCGGTGCTGGGGCACACGGAGGAGTGGCAGGAGGGGATGGAGGGGGCCACGCTGACCTGCCTGGGGGATGGCAACCCGCCCCCCACCTACAACTGGACACGGTGAGGACGCTGTCCCCGTCCCCCGCGCCTGGCCCCGGCCTTGCCGTCCTCCCCGCACGCGTTGGTGGCCCTGCCACATCCCCGCATGCCTACCTGTCCCTGCCGTGCTGTCTCTTCGCCTGTGTCCATGTCCCTGCTGTGTTCCCCGTGCACATCTGTGTCCCTGCCGGGTGTCCAGAGCACCTTCATGTCCCTGCTGTGTCCCCTGCCTGTGCCCCGTGCCCCAGCTCTGTCCCCTGCCAGTGCCCATGTCCCTGCCACATCCTCCCTGCCCGTGCCGGTGTCCCCTGCCGTGCCCCCCTGCCTGTGCCCATGTCCTGGCAAAGTCCCACGTCCCTGCTGTGTCCCCCCTGCCCGTACCCACGTCCCGTGCCGTGTCCCCTGCCCGCGTCCCCCCCCACCGCACCCG